GGAGGATATCCTGGTGGTTAATAACAGTAACTACGTAAGTCTAGTTTGCAGGATATCCTAGTAGTTAATAACACTAAGTACGTACGTGTAGGTTGGAGGAGGATATCCTTGTGCAGCACATGGAAGGATGACGTCTTCCTCACATTTGGTGTCAACTCGAGCTCGACTGTGATTGATTCTCGGTGACCTATTACTATGGTCGTCTGAAAAAAAAAAGTGATAAATTTTATATTAAATATTGTAAGACACTGCCTTACATCGCTATTCGTGTCTTATAATACTGGTACAATCGGTAAGAGGGGATTCTTTATGATAAAACCTCTGGTTACGAGATTATATTAAATATTGTAAGACACTGCCTTACATCACTATTCGTGTCTTATAATACCGGTACAATTAGTAAGAGGGGATTCTTTACGATAAAATCTCTGGTTACGAGATTATATTAAATATTGTACGACACTGCCTTACATCACTATTCGTGTCTTATAATACCGGTACAATCAGTAAGAGAGAATTCTTTATGATAAAACCTCTGGTTACGAGATTATATTAAATATTGTAAGACACTGCCTTACATCGCTATTCGTGTCTTATAATACTGGTACAATCAGTAAGAGGGAATTCTTTACGATAAAATCTCTGGTTACGAGATTATATGTCGCTGGTATGTAAAGCAGTGTTCGACAATGAAGTTTTCGAACTCGGTGAAATTAGTGAGTTTGTTACTGTTTTTTTTTTATAAGGATTTGTGTGTGTGTTTTTCCAGTTGTTCAACAAGACTACAAAGTCCAGGTTGTCAATGGATATTCAATCCAAGGAAACACCGCTGTTCTAAGGTGCAACATCCCTAGTTTTGTAAAGGAGTACGTCACAGTGACGTCATGGGAGAGAGGGGACGACCTGAAAATTACATCCAACGGTGAACGAGGTACGCCGGTTATAGTATGTATTTGTGTTGTGATGAAAGTTAAGTGTGTAAGGTAACGTTAAAAGTTGTAATTCAGACTCGTGAATGTAAGTAACTATACAGTAAAACTTGTTAAGAAACTAAAAAAAAAACTGAATTAACAATAAAGTTTTAATTATTATAAATCCGCGTTAATGACGTGGAAAATCTGAAGAGCTTATAACGCTCAAAACCGGATTTCGATACACGTGGTGGGCATTGTGTAGCTTTATGCTCAACAACAAAGACGTGAAAAGTATACCAGGCTTCTAATGCAGGACAAAATAATGTTTTGTTTGTTTCTTGTTAAACACAAAATAACACAATGGGCTCTCTATGCGCTGCCCTCCGGGAGTATCGAGCCCCAATTTTGAGCGTTGTAAGTCCTCAGACTTACCGTTGAGCCACCGGAGCGAGAAAGACATTATTCAGATCTTGTTCTGTATTATCAATCAGGAAACAAAATCAGATAGGTGCGTATAATACACTAGCTTGGTTTTACGGGGGTGACGAGACGGCGAGCGTGCATAAGAAAGAAGTTGAAATAGCTATGAATCTCTCAAGAATACGAAAATGAATAAAAGAAAGGGTAATAAAATCCCTCTGGGGCATACTGAAGAAGTTCTAGTAATCATAGGTCGAACAGACACAGATACAGTCTTGGCCAAAATGTTAACAAATATGATCATTATTATTGAGATGAAATACAAATACACTTAGCGTTGTCAAACTGAGAAATACATGTTATATTAAACACCTACATGTGTAATTTGTATAATGAGACAGGTTCTATGGACATCATGAACGATTTATTAGAACAGCAAACAATTATATCAAGCATCTGTAGAAAGATGTGTTATTCGGCATTTCATCTACCACAACCAAACCTTATCAAAACATATAAAATGACAAAATATAACATCAAATTATTATAAATAGTGTTTGTAACCTTATATCAATTCATATTAAACATTTAGTAGTTGGTTGGTCCTGCTTGTAGTCTAATAACCTTCACAAGGCGACGTGGCATGCTGTCGATGAGGTTATTGATGTAATCCACCGTGATTTCATCCTAAAACTTGTCACTAGAAGGGGCTGCATCTCATCTACAGTAGCTGGTTAAGTGTTACAGTTACCGATTTTTTGGTTCAGTTCTGCTCAACAATTCTAAATGGGATTACGATCTGGAGACTTTTCTGACCATGGCAATCTTGTAACATCCTCCTGGTCGAGCTAATCCTGTACAATGCGAGCACTGTGGAAAGTGGCATTGTCATCCTGGACCATAGAGTTATTGTCAAACCTTACCCGAGCATATGGTACAAATACTGACTCCATTTGATGCCTGTAGGATATAAAGATATGTTTTCCACCACAATGAATAGCTGCCCAAACATGTACTACACCACCTTCTGCGTAATCCCAGTAGGAAAAACAGTCGTTCCTCATCTGTTCTCCAGGCAAAAGACGAACATGAATCTTACTATCAGCTTTAACAAGCCGAAAACAGGTCTCATTTGAAAATATGACATGTCTCCAGTGTCCTAACTGTAATTTGGCATGCTGTCTTGCCCAAGTAACAGGGTGACGATGGGGAATCCTGGATAATAACGGTTCGTAGATAGTCCTTCTTGCAAAATAACCTTGTTTGGTCAGTATCTTATTCACTGTTCTTCTGGATACCATGGAATGAATGTGTTCATGTCAATCTTCTCATAAGGTGTTGCAAGACTTCTTTCGACCTTGACATGTTAACCTGATCAAAACACGGTCATCTCGAGAAGTAGTTTTTCGACGTCTACCAGTAGACTTTCCTGGAAGAACGTTTCCTGTAGTCCGATGACGCTTCAGGATTCTGGATACAGTAAACTGGGGGTAACCTACTCTTCTGGCAATGTCCGTTTGCTTCATACCATTTCTGGAGAGTCCAACAATTTGAAGCCCTACAACTTCTGGCACGTGACGAGGCATGACTCTACACCAAGTACAGAGAAATTGTCTGAACAAAGCGTTTCGATAAAAATTATACCAAAAGCACACCCTTTTGCACAAAACAAGTGTGTTTTGACCAACAGATACTCCAATCAACTTATACAGACCAGAATGACAACATGTACACGTTTGTCTGACCATACGCTACCTTCTCTGTTACTACTCGGACATTTACTCAATAACTACTCCCTGCATGCAGACAATAACATCAACATAGGACAGTATGGAAACATTTTGGCCAAGACTATATAAGCAGTTGTGTGGTAGAGTTGATAGTAGGTCGAAGAAACACAGATATAAGCAGCTGTGTGGTAGAGTTGATAGTAGGTCGAAGAAACACAGATATAAGCAGCTGTGTGGTATAGCTGATAGTAGGTCGAAAACACACAGATATAAGCAGCTCTGTGGTATAGCTGATAATAGGTCGAAGAGACACAGATATAAGCAGCTTTGTGGTATAGCTGATAGTAGGTCGAAGAGACACAGATATAAGCAGCTCTGTGGTATAGCTGGTAGTAGGTCAAAGAGACACAGATATAAGCAGCTCTGTGGTATAGCTGGTAGTAGGTTAAAGAGACACAGATATAAGCAGCTCTGTGGTATAGCTGATAATAGGTCGAAGAGACACAGATATAAGCAGCTTTGTGGTATAGCTGATAGTAGGGCGAAAACACACAGATATAAGCAGCTTTGTGGTATAGCTGATAGTAGGTCGAAATGACACAGATATAAGCAGCTTTGTGGTATAGCTGATAATAGGTCGAAGAGACACAGATATAAGCAGCTTTGTGGTATAGCTGATAGTAGGTCGAAATGACACAGATGTAAGCAGCTTTGTGGTATAGCGGATAATAGGTCGAAGAGACACAGATATAAGCAGCTTTGTGGTATACATATAAAGTATAAAATATATGTTGTACTTACTACGTCAGATATAGTGAATTACGTCTGTTTAATGTGTGAACACTAGTAAATTATGTCAGTTTTAATGAACATGTTAGTTAAGAAAGGAAAGTTCAGCTAAGGTCGGTGTTACGATAGGTGTGAAATCACCCACCACCCCGATGAAGGTGAACTCCAGTTAAGTAACTTGAAAAGAACCATTTATATGTTACTTGCTGTTTCATCATCACCTGAATCTGAACGTGTTACTCGTGGCCTCGTCAGACTCACAATCCTTTCTTCAAGCCTACAATGGTCAGACTCACAATCCTTTCTTCAAGCTTACAATGGTCAGACTCACAATCCTTTCTTCAAGCCTACAATGGTCAGACTCACAATCCTTTCTTCAAGCCTACAATGGTCAGACTCACAATCCTTTCTTCAAGCCTACAATGGTCAGACTCACAATCCTTTCTTCGAGCCTACAATGGTCAGACTCATAATCCTTTCTTCAAGCCTACAATGCTTTATTTACAAACTCATCACGATCACATCTTATTATATATTTTTATTTTTTGAAGCCCCAAGTATTTTTTATAGGGTTACAGAACAATTTTTTTGTTATTTTATTTTGTACATTTATATATTAGGGCTAGAGATGTTGCTACTAATTCTATGACTTGTGGTTTCTCCAGGACTTTCATTATTTTATTGACGTCTAATGCCATATTGGGAGATAAATATAGAGACCGAGAGATATGGAAGGCTGTGGGAATGTCACTTATCAAAATAGTGTAATTTTTATATTCAGGTTAGAATATTTCTTAAATATGTACAGTTTCCTATTAGGAAAAATGACAAACTAATTAAATGAGTGTATTTTACATGATGAACTTTAGTATTCTCTATAACCACAGGAGGGCGCTACCTGATTTTCCCAAGCGGCGAACTCCACATCCAAGAAGCTAATGCTAAGGACGGTTTCAAGACGTACAGATGTATTACAAAGAATAGCATAACAGGAGAGGTAAAGCCGAGTGAGACGGTGGGAAAGTTAGTAGTTTCAGGTATGGCCCAGGAAGTGTTATCTTTAAATCCTAAAATAACGTTCGAATTCCAAGTAATCCGATCACATGATACTAAATTATAGCCTACATTCTCAAAGTTAACCAAGGTAGCTGAGAACCATCATGGGCCCCGGGAATTAATTGCTATATGCTCCCCCCCCCCCAGATAGTTTTTGAAATGATGCCGCGTACAACGCGTGACTGAAGGAACAGTTGATTATTGCTATAAACGTTCCGTACTAATTTGATGAAATCCCTCTACATTGTTTTATTGCACTCACGCCTCCCCCCGATGGATAGTGGGTCCGGGAAAAAACCCTGACTTTTCCATCTTCATGGTTGGCCTGAAGTCAGCAAGCCTACATTTTATCAGATTAACTAGCCTACATTCTGTCAGATTAACTAGCCTACATCCTGTCAGATTAACTAGCCTACATCTTATCAGATTAACTAGCCTACATCCTGTCAGATTAACTAGCCTACATTATATCAGGTTAACTAGCCTACATTATATAAGATTAACTAGCCTACATTCTATCAGATTAACTAGCCTAAAACCTGTCAGATTAACTAGCCTACATCCTGTCAGATTAACTAGCCTACGTCCTGTCAGATTAACTATTCTGCATTATATCAGATTAACTAACCTGAAGTATATCAAATTAACTAGCCTACAATATATCAGATTAACTAGCCTACATCCTGTCAGATTAACTAGCCTACATCCTTTCAGATTAAATAGCCTACATTCTATCAGATTAACTAGCCTACATTATATTAGATTAACTAACCTGCATTACATCAGGTTAACTAGCCTACATTCTGTCAGATTAATTATCCTACATTATATTAGATTAACTAACCTGCATTATATCAGTTAACTAGCCTACATAATATGAGATTAACTAGCCTACATCCTATCAGATTAACTAGTCTACATAATATGAGATTAACTAGCCTACATTCTATCATATTAACTAGCCTACAATATATCAGATTAACTAGTCTAAATCCTATCAGATTAAGTAGCCTACATCCTGTCAGATTAACTAGCCTACAACCTGTCAGATTAACTAGCCTACATCCTATCAGATTAACTAGCCTACATCCTATCAGATTAACTAACCTACATTCTATCAGATTAACTAGCCTACATTATATAAGATTAACTAGCCTACATTCTATCAGATTAACTAGCCTACAATATATCAAATTAACTAGCCTACATCCTGTCAGATTAACTAGCCTACATCCTGTCAGATTAAGTAGCCTACATCCTGTCAGATTAACTAGCCTACAATGTATCAAATTAACTAGCCTACATCCTGTCAGATTAACTAGCCTACATCCGGTCAGATTAAGTAGCCTACATCCTGTCAGATTAACTAGCCTACATCCTATCAGATTAACTAGCCTACATCCTATCATATTAACTAGTCTACATCCTATCAGATTAACTAGCCTACATTATATCAGATTAACTAGCCTACATCCTATCAGACTAACTAGCCTACATTATATCAGATTAACTAGCCTACATTCTGTCAGTTTAATTAGCCTAAATTCTGTCAGATTAACTAGTCTACATTATATCAGATTAATTTATCCTGAATCCTAGCTAATTAACTAGCCTACAATATATCAGATTAACTAGCCTACATCCTGTCAGATTAACTAGTTTACATCCTTTCAGATTAAATAGCCTACATTCTATCAGATTAACTAGCCTACATTATATTAGATTAACTAACCTGCATTATATCAGGTTAACTAGCCTACATTCTGTCAGATTAATTATCCTACATTATATTAGATTAACTAACCTGCATTATATCAGGTTAACTAGCCTACATAATATGAGATTAACTAGCCTACATTCTATCAGATTAACTAGCCTACATCATATCAGATTAACTAGTCTACATCCTGTCAGATTAACTAGCCTACATAATATCAGATTAACTAGCCTACATAATATGAGATTATCTAGCCTACATTCTATCATATTAACTAGCCTACAATATATCAGATTAACTAGTCTAAATCCTATCAGATTAAGTAGCCTACATCCTGTCAGATTAACTAGCCTACAACCTGTCAGATTAACTAGCCTACATTCTATCATATTAACTAGCCTAAAATATATCAGATTAACTAGTCTAAATCATATCAGATTAAGTAGCCTACACCCTGTCAGATTAACTAGCCTACATCCTATCAGATTAACTAGCCTACATCCTATCAGATTAACTAGCCTACATCCTATCAGATTAACTCCTACATCCTATCAGATTAACTAGCCTACATTCTATCAGATTAACTAGCCTACAATATATCAAATTAACTAGCCTACATCCTGTCAGATTAACTAGCCTACATCCTGTCAGATTAACTAGCCTACATCCTGTCAGATTAACTAGCCTACATCCTATCAGATTAACTAGTCTACATCCTATCAGATTAACTAGCCTACATTATATCAGATTAACTAGCCTACATTCTGTCAGTTTAATTAACCTAAATTCTGTCAGATTAACTAGCCTACATTATATCAGATTAACTAACCTGCAGTATATCAGATTAACTTGCCTACATTATATCAGATTAACTAGCCTACATTCTATCAGATTAACGAACCTGCAGTATATCAGATTAACTAGCCTACATTATATCAGATTAACTAGCCTACATCCTATCAGATTAATTAGCCTAAATTCTGTCAGATTAACTAGCCGACATTCTGGCACGTAGATATACTCTCTGAGAAAATATTAAATTTTTATTCACGTTAGTTTTGGTGGAGTACAGGTAACTGTTTTCCTGGCTAAGAAAAAACCCTACGTTTGGAAAACAAATTCCATGAAATAATATCATCAGAATTCAGTAAGAAATGATGTGAAACTTGCCACTTTATGTTTTATTAGCTTTTTCTTTTCTCACTTTCCAGATATTGTTCATAAACATATTAGACAAAGCATTTGGCTCTTCAAAGTCTGTTTTCGAGTTTTAATTATAGAAAGAAGGAGATACGTTCAACATTGTCAGTGAAATTCTTAATAAAATGATCGCAACCATGATCCTAACATTGTGAACACATGTCGCTTGCTAGAGAAAATCAAACAGAGTCTGCGTAATAATAGATGGTTTGAAGTTCGCGCAAAGATACGTGAGGGCTATCTGCGCTAAGCGTCCCTAATTTAGCAGTGTAAGACTAGAGGGAAGGCAGATAGTTATCGTCACCCACCGCCAACGTCACATTATAATGCCCCCCACGGCTGAAAGGTCGAGCATGTTTGGTGGGACGTGGATTCGAACTCGCGAGCCTCAGATTGCGAGTAAAGCGCCCTAACCACCTGGCCATGCAGGGCCACAGGAATAATAGAAACTAGTATCATCTTGTTGTAAGTCTCACTGTCGTCATGCAAGAAAGAAACACTGCTAAATCTCGCCAACAGGAACTTCCAAGACGACTCTTATTATCCAACATAAAAATATCGTTCGTTAACGTTGACTTTTCACCAAACCATAGAGAGTTTTGTGATGTTCTCGTAACCAGAGATTTTATCGTAAAGAATCCCCTCTTACTAATTGTACCGGTATTGATGTAAGGCAGTGTTTTACAATATTTAATATAATCTCGTAACCAGAGATTTTATCGTAAAGAATTCCCTCTAACTAATTGTACCGGTATTATAAGACACGAATAGCTGATGTAAGGCAGTGTCTTACAATATTTAATATAATCTCGTAACCAGAGGTTTTATCGTAAAG